GAGAATCTCTGCCAAGGAGCACCGGAGCTGTTCTCATGGCTCATGATCGCCCGACTCCATACCAAGACACTTTATGTTGGTCACCTATCTTTACGTAATTGTGTATTCTCCTGTTTTAACCTATTTACTTTTTTTTATTTTGATTTAAAGGTATTCCGTTTAAAATGCTCTTAGCTGCACATTGCTGAAAAGGTTTACAGCATCAACATTTAAACATCAAGTGGCAAATCACCTCAAATCAAATCCCAGTGCGAACACTGCTACAAGTTATTTAAGAGAGGAATGAAGCTTAGTAACACAGTCCTATAATAAATGATTGAGGTTGTGTACATGAAAAAAAAATCCAAACACTCAAATCCCCAAGAGCCAAATCAAGCTGGCGCCGGGGCGGTGGAAGCTAAAGAAACAGAGAGAGCGTGGGATGTTCATTGAAAACACTCCATCTTCATTTGCTGCAGGTTGGCCAGCAGTTAACTGGAAAAACTGACCCTAGTTTACAGTGGCTGCTTCGTATCCTAACAATCTATGTCCAGTTGTTTGATTGTTCTCTTAAGCAGCTTAATCAGCTGCTGTACCGACAACAGGGATCAATAATGTCACACTGTCAGTATCGAGAAGCAGTCAAGAGGCATGTTCTGCCAACGCTTCACTGTAGGTTGCTACTTACTGTGATTACAGTCATCTACGTGATTTCAGTGTTATTATTAGAACATGAAGTCTCAAACATGTCTCAGTTTACAGCGTGTTATCACTTTTACATTTCAACTTTACCCACAATACTTGACAATACGTGACATCACGAGCTAATGCCAGACTATTTGTTTCTCTGTGGATTTGAGTGTGCTTCCCTTTGGAGCAATGTTAGCTGTCTTACTTTTTGTAAATAATAAATAAAGCATGCTGTAAGTGTTGCTCCACCATCGACTGTGCCCCCTTACAAGTGGCAAAAGAACACCCTGGAGAATGGAGGTATGGTGCAGACCACACTCATTTCACACTGCCATCAATACACTCAAATCTAAAGATAAACACATGCACATATATGAGGAAACTTTTTAACATGTGATTCTTACATGGCTTATCTTACCTTTGAATTCATTCTGTTGTCTGTTGCGTTGTACATCGACATTGCTGTCCCTTAAGACTGACCTGTCACCGTATCTGTGAAAGAGATTCACATGCAGTCGACTGACTGTCTTGAAATAATTAGGTAAAAGCCAAATACAAGCCGCAGTTAATTAACAGTTATAATTCTGGTAATGGTAACATAACCCAGTTTCATCACATTTGGTTACAATAACCATAATTAATTGATTATAATTATAATTGTGGTCACATATAACAACAATTATAATCAATTAATTTCTCCTCATGAAGACATAGAAAACTGTAGTGCTTAAGATCTCAAACCTTAGGCAGTACAAATGACTGTACTTAATGCTTGCTATGGAACATATCACACTTCTTTTGGTGGGCAAATAATTGCAGGAGCAATATATTCCCCATAGAAGTTAGCAAACTAGTTCATAAGTGCAGAGATCAAACTGAAGTATCTGTAGAAGAGGTATGAAAACAACGATAACACAAAATACTAAGATGTTTTGAATGTCTAAAGCTCACAGGTCGCAGCTCTGTCTAGTGTCTGGTGACTGACACCACAGTGGGGTTGACTTTGAATCCAGAGATTGTCATGTTACAGGAAAGAACATAAAGAGAACAGTTACCCATGTGGCCTTTATGCACTAAATGTTATTAATGCCTGCAAAGTGACGTGCACTTGTGTATTTTTACATGCTAGGTGATACATTATGGGTGTTATGACGGATGAGCACCAATACCAGTGGGGGGAAAAAATAAGTGGAAGCTGCTAAAATGTCACACGTAAGAAAGTGATTCACTGCTGAGATTTTAGTGAGCAACATTGGAGAGGGAGAGGAACCACATCTTAAAATCAATAAGCAGGAGTTTGATTGGACACAAATGTCAAAAGGAAGCATCACAGGGAAGTCAGTGCTAAGATGTGTGTTCGCATACTGATTTTTTAAAAATATCTCCACACTTAAGCTTGCTAAAACTTGCAAAAAGCATTTTCTTTTTTGTTTTGCTTTTCTACCAATGCTCACAGCCTCTACCAAGCTTTTTTTCCCAAATCAATCAGGATTTATGAAGCATCTACATTCCCAGTTGATTCCATCCCAGGACAGAAGCCACAGCATTAAATTATACTGAAATACTTAACTGGCCCCCTAACTGGGAACATAATAAAATTAGTCATTTATAGTGAATTGTTCATGAAACATTCATAGATCCATGTATCTATTTATTATATTTGCAACTTTATTTTTATACATTTTTACTTCTTGTGAAATATATATTTAATATCCTAGATAAATGGATTCACCCGTTTGTTATTTACATTTTAGTGTAAATATCTGTTTTCCCCTCAAAACCCCCAAATACCCCAGTTCTCTGGATCAATAATCTTCCCTGCACCCTCTTCGGGTTTACTCTGCTCCACCAATGACTGCAGACACAAAAAATACATAAACAAGTAACAAATTGTTTCATGCATTTTGTATGAAATTTTCTTTTGGGGTCACTGCATGCAAGCGATGAAGTATATAACACAACATAACACAATGCAAATTATAATTTAATGTTGGTATTAATCTCTCAAATAACATTAAATTTTTTCTTGTACCTTATTTAGTCTAGCAATAAAGAACTTTTCAAACCACTTTTGTTTTTCACTGTCTCTCCTTCTTCTCTCTCTTTTCTCAGTATGATCCACGACCCAGAGGATGAAAATCAAAGGTTTCCCCGCCAGCAATAATAAAATAAAATTGGACCAGGTGTCCACTTCTGAGCTGGGACATGACTCCTACATCTGACACAGCTGCATTCACATAATGTCCCACAGGTGTTCTCCCATGAAGACCATATATACTGAAGCAAGTAGACTGACTCGTTAAGAAATTATAGCCTGTTTTTTACCCTGAACTTTCTCTCAATATTTTTGGTAACTACGCTAATCCACTTTCTTCATCATTCTGTGGCACATATTGACACACTGCAAAGAATTAATCAGGAACATTGTAAGGTGGCAACTGCGACGGTCACATTCACAACTCCATTAACTCAAGTTCACTTGATAATGACTTGATTGTTCAGTATTTACATTTCAAGCCGATGATTTCCTTTGTGTTGTATTCATAGCGTTACATCTTGGAACGTTTTGTGGTTAGATTGTAATTTCACTTTGTTGTGTTGAAGTAACGTTTCGTAACGTAGTCCTCTATGGACATAACAAAGTTCTCTCTCCAACTCTGACTCACATTTCCACAAGCGTCTTCCTGCAACAACTCACCTCTCACGAGATTTAAAAGCAAGAATTGTCCTTAAGCAAGTCTTCTGTTACTCTTGTTCTCTTCAAAACAAGTGGTGTTAAAGGGTTTTACTCATAGGGAACCTTTCCATGACAGCTGGTATAACTGTCTGAGTCTGCCAATGGCAAAAAGACGCACTGTTTATGGACATATTTTTGACTGGCACAATTGCCCTGAAGGAATATGTTGCAGCCATTTCATCCGGTTTGTGGCTGCTGGCTGAAGCCATCTACTGCACGGATTTCAAAACCCTTTGTACCTACTAGTCATTTTGACTCCAAATATCTGAAAATAGGGCACAGGCTTTAAAAAAATATTGAAATTACCCCTTAAGGCAGTGGCTCCCATCCTTTTTGGCTTGTGAGCCTTTAAATGAAGTCTATCCATCACCATCACCCCTAATCACAGGTCTAAGTCTCAGTGCCAACTTGAGCTGAGAACAGTTCAACCTGTTTTGTGAGTGAGTTTTTTCGTTTTCAGATTGTTTCATTTGAAGGATTTTTAGAGGCCTGAAGAGGTACAAGTTCTGCAACTGAGTATTTCAAAAAATAATATATAACTAATATACAAAACAAAAGTCAGAAATATTCTTTAGTTACTTGGTGACCCCTCAGATATATGGATCCCGGGAACCCTCAAGGGATCCTGACCGTCAGATTGGAAACCAATGGGTTATGGATTGGTCCATACTGGTAACCACAAACCTGATGCCTGAGGAAACACACATCCTTTAAATCTGTCAAATTCAAGGACTGAATAGTCTGATTGAATGTGTGAAACTTAATCTGGTGCTGGTTTGAGGTTCAGCCATCACTGGTGGATCTGGCTTCCTCTGGATGCTGCTGCCAGAGTTTTCTATGTCAAGGTTTTCCTGCATGCCAAGACTCCACTTTGCGAAATGCTAGTACATATATCTAGATTGGAATGGTAAACCTGTAAGTATAGCTGAGACTATTGGGCAGTAATGATGTTAAATCTCTTCAGCCTGGGGACTAGAAAATCTGAATGACCCCATCGGCAACATTTGTCCAGAACATCGAGTCCAGACAATCAGCTGCGTATTTTCTGTCTTTAATCAATTTTTTAATGTTTTTTTTTCTGCCTGGCATGAGTAAGCTGTTGCCATGGTAGTTCAGATGAAGAAGGAATGATAATTGTTTCACCATAGCACTGTGTGAATTATTAAAACCTAGAGGCCATGAATGAGCCGAATGAGAAATAGAAAAGAAATGAGACAGAATGAGGACTTATCGTTTTGTATGTTTCATTGGCGAGTTTTTATAAGGTCTTTTTATTACTCGCGACTCCCACGACTGTGTAGATGAAACAGATGCTGCCACAATTTGTGATTGAAGCTCTGCAGCTCCAGCCTGTCCTGAGAGATTTTAAAAAGGAATATTCAACAACATTCATGAATAGTGCAAGGGAACCAAACAAAGAGAGGAGAGGAGGAAATGGTGGCCGTATGCTATCAGCTCTACACAAATTGCCTCTGGTTGTTAGCAAAATTGCATCAATTTAATGATCAAATCCTTTTTTATTAACTTGCTGGAAGCTTTTTTTTTTTTTTTTTTTTTTAAGTCATGTAGTCATCCTCTTACAAAGCCAAAAGAGTCTGTTCTTTAACAATTTATTTAGTCCAAATATTAAAGGATACAAACAGAAATGTTCCACTACAACTCAACCAAGACATCAACACATTTCAAACAGCTGCTCTGACACAAGCAATAAATTAGACAAAACGCATCCATCTCCTTCACAAATAACAAAGTGACACATATAAATCATCAAGATAAAAAAAAATATACACCGTGTGTTTGTGTTTGGATGTTCAGGGTCAGATGGTAACTGACCGAATGACACCAGCTGCTTACCTGTACAGACAGAATAAACAAATCATATCTCATCCAGACCACAAGCTCTAAAATGTAGGAATTAAGACCTCTGCAGCTCAGTGGTAGAAAACTGTAGAATTCATGAGCTTGTAGGCCAAATGTAAATCAAATGATTGCCATATTTTATAATGTATATACATATATAACTATGGAGATGCGTATCGCCGCAAAAAAATAATCACCAAAGTGACTGGGTTTGTGGTTGACTGTGGCACAGAAGACATGAATCCAGAATTAGATTCAGTAGGTCCAGATTTTGCAGTTACATCTCCCAACCAGCAGGGTTCCCTAGCACTGAGACTCAACATGGCCTTCCTCCACGGAAGGCCTCTTTTGTAGGTTGTAATACTCATCTTCATCCTCTGAGTCCTGGACAGAGCAGAAAACGAGACAGTCAGGTGACGCTACAGCCAGACAAAGAGACACAAACACAGACCCAGACCCAAAACAAGTACATTGAAAAAAATAAATCAATATTTGATAAGCCCTCAAGTCCTGTTGTAAGACATACAGGGTATGTAAAATTAAACGTGAAACGGATATGGCAGACATGTCTCTAAGTTATTCATGGGTTGGAAGATGGTGTGGTAGAATGAAACGTTCTGCACTGTACCATCAGATATAGGTCACAGCATGTCGCCTTCTTTCCTTTGGCCCCCGGTGGATGGACGCCATATTCCTCTCTGATGAATGCAGAATGGACAGTTAAGATGGTCACTAATGACAATAATGACACACAATTACCATGAAAAGGCTTTTCTGTTACACCGTATTCACATACTCTAAACATAGACTAGATAAGACCAGAATTATCAAGATCAATACTACTCTCATGTCTGCCCATATGAAGCTGGAGCCAGCAGCCAATTAGCTTAGCTTAGCATAAAGACTGAAAACAGGGGGAAACTGCTAATAACAACCTGTAAAACCACAAAATGTCATTTTCAGATAGAACATATTAATTAGTGAGCTTTAGAGTGACTGGAAGGTGGAGATTGTTTCCCCTCGGACACTGCCAGGCTAGCTGGACCATTTCTTGACCAGTCTTGATCTTAAGCTAAGGTAATCGGCTGCTATCTCCAGCTACAATCTTCTCATCTGACACTCTGCAACAAAGAGATAAGCATATTTCCCCTAATGCAACACTATTTTACTTCACTTTTCTTTTTTTTTCTTTTTTTTTTTTTTAAGTGTTGTGTTTCCTGCTGTCAGAAGATCCTTGAGTGCAGTCTACAGTAAACAGGGTCTTCTTATAGTGGTTTTGGGAACTCTAAGTGAAGAGAACAAAGGGGAGATGCTGGTAATGCTGCAGGTTAGACATTAGAATCTCAATGTAGTAATAATAAAGAAAATGGCTACAGAATGTTCAAAACAAAAATCGACAGGCATTTCTTTCAATAATCAAAACCAAAAAAAATGGGTCTAAAGTGAACTTGAGTTGCAGCTCATTGTTTACAAAAACCTGTCAGTGTAATTTATGCATTCAGTTAAGAATGTATTACGGAGCAGCATTGCCTCATTTAACATTTATATTCCTGTATTACATGAATCAAAAGAACAATATCCAGGTCCTGCGTGACTTCAAACCACAGGGAGTCGCGCACACTATAAAGTATAAAGCAGTATGTAGATGAGTTAATTGCAGACTTCATTGCTTACTGGTTCATAGCATCTTTCTACAACAAGCACACCTGAAATCAAACCTTTAACTAAAACCTTCTTAACCTGCAACAAATTAGCAATCCAAAAGCACATTTACAACCATCAAACCTGCGATCATTATCATTACCCCCAGGAGAGCCACAGCAGTGACTGGTTGAATAAATCTACTCACCCCTCAGTGACCTCTATGGGTGATCTGTAGGCCTTTGATTGGTTGTGCTGTTTCTTGGGACAGAGCATCCGTCCAATCAGAATGAGGGTGATGAGAGCGGAGGGGAGGAGGATGAAAGCGAGGAGGACCGCAACATCAGAGAAGCGAATGCTGGGCACTGTGGAGTAGGATGTGAGGTCATTAGACACACTGACAAGATGTTTATGAACACAGATACACATGACGTCATGCCATACTCACAAAAGCATTAATTACACAGACATGTGTATACAACTAATACAGTAAATTATGCGGTTGTTGCTGTTGTTGACAACCACTAAAACAAAACTAACAACAAAACTATTGTGAATATAGAAAAAAAGTCTTCTCCTTAAAAGGAATAATTCAGCATTTTGGGAAACGTATCTTCGTTTTCTTGCCAGGAGTTAGATCAAAACATTGGTACCATTCTCACGTCTGTACAGTAAATATGAAGCCAGTAGCAGCTTAGCTTAGTATAAACACTGGAAACAAGGGGAAGCAGTTAGCCTGGCTCTGTCTAAAGGTGCCTTACAGCACCTCCAAAGCTCATTATTTAACCGTATCTCTTCTTATATCTTTTAATCTGTACAAAAAAAACGAAGTTTAAAAACAACACTTCGCCATTACACATGGGGTTATTTGGTCGTGTGCTGGACTCCTCTTGGCTGTCTTTCTGGAGTCTCCCAGCCAGGAAATAAACAAATAAGACATAATGTGTTAGTTAGTAGCCTTTAAGCACTGGTAGGTGCACTTTGTTATTTTTGTATGAAGAACCGTGCTCGCTCACAAGAGCAGCAGTTTTCTTGACGCTGCAGTAACTGCTTGCTGCCTGAAATTATTTTAACTCACGGCAAGACAAGCATGTAAGTATATTTCCCAAAATGTACTTGATAACTATTGATTTAAAGAACCCCTGTTTATCATTTATATTTCATTAGTTTAATAATTCTTGGTATGATGACAAATTTAGGTCAGTCTGTATCACTTCGATCTGATGAGTTACCCTCCACTATATTCCTGCTTCTAACCATCTACAGTACAGACACCTGAAGCAGGCAATATTTATGAGCCAGTATTGCTAACATCATGGCAGGCTTACACAAACATGAAATAGACATTTGGATTAAACTTTTATCTAAAAATAAATTATATATATATATATATATATATATATATATATATATATATATATATATATATATATATATATATATATATATATATATATATATATATTTTTTTTTTTTTTTTTGTGGCTGCTAGTGGCTTTTAAGCTTCATCCCTGTCTCTGTTTACACGCAGTGCACAACTAGTTATGAGAAAAGCCACCTGCGGTGAAATCAGCACAACCACTGGTAGGGATTTTTAAAAAACCACACGTTGAAGAGGATAAAGATGATTACACCTCAGAACGTGCATGTGAATGGGGTCATACCACTGTTATGTTGCATGCATTCAAGTGTGTGCACAACCGAAGAGTTGGAGAAAGTCAAAATGTACATGGCTAAATATGCAGAAACGGGCCCCGCTTGGTGTATGTGCACTATCTTACCCTTTGGTGAGACAGTGAGTACAGTGTGTGAAGTCGGGGAACCGTGGACATCAGGAGGGTTTCTGACTGCGCAAGTAAAGGTCCCATTATCGTTCAATGTGGCGTTGATAAGAGAGATGGAGGCATCCCCACGCGCCGGGCTTCCCTGCCAACGGATACGACCAGCAAACTGACCGTCTTGTGGAGGGAACGCCTTCGAGGAGAAGTGGAAAAACTGGAGAGAGATGAGAGAGGATAAAATAAAATATATGTTATTGGTATGAAACCGACTGATCTGTGGTTAAATAGTGTGTGACTTAGAGCAAGGGTGTAAAAATATATCTAATGAGGTACTGGAAGGAAAAAGAAAAAAAAAAAAACACAGAATTCATGGTATTAGTAAACTAACACAACTGGATAGGTTAGATTCACGGAAGAGAAATGTTGATTGCTATCTCACTATCTCCTCTCATCAGGAGGGCACAATCTAAATTAACTGTAACTCAGTTCCCTTATTCATATACTGCTTAATCTATCTTATCATTTTTCTGCTTGAGGGAAAATGTCTGGAGCAACAGGTGGTGAGACAGATGGCGGTGGGACATTTTCTTTTGGCAATATTGTTGACAGCGGAGTGATGAGGTCTCCCTGTTCAATCTAAGAAATCTGAATAAAAATCTGATCGAGCACAAGGCAAAGAATTTCATGTGTGTGCATGGGTCTTGACGAGAGAAAATCTGAACTACAGATGTCCTTTACTTTAACATTTACCACATAAGTTACTTTTTAACAACAAAACTTCTTCCATCTTGTTATTACTCCCACGTCAAGCTGACCCGGAACTCTCCAAAACACGACATCCAGAGTATGAGTGTGTTGTGTGTGGGTGGAGAAGGGGGAATAAAAATGTGGAAATACTACAGCATAATTTATATGACACCCTGGTTAGTCACCAGTAACCAGAGTGGACAAAAATCTGAAGGTAGAAACATATAAACAGGAAATTGACAGATGATTTGACAGAGGAGCAAGAGGAGAGAGGGGTTGATTCTGAATATATTTGCTTTCATCTTTCTCTGTTCGTCCTAGAAACTGTTGATGTGCCGAATTATGTCTTATGTTGTGGTTTTAGCCTTAGTTCACTTTCTAGACATCTTATTTGAATGAAACCCTAAAAAAACATGTGGCAAAGTAAGAAGTAGTAAGAGGAAGTGGAACTGACCCAGGTATGAATGAATGGACTGCAGAACTTGCAGTCTGCCCAACATCCACATTGCATCCCACACTTACAGTACAGTAAGACTTTGTACAATACGTTGAAAATGAAAAGACAACATTTCAACTGACATGGACATTTTGGAATTCAACTTCAAAATACAACAACTTGAATGGCTGAAGAGGGAAAAAAATGTCAACTAGACCAGAAAAGAAGCCTTTTCATTAAGATTAAGAATTATAATTAGTAAACAGTCACAAGATATGAGTTGCCAGTCATTACTCTTCCCAACTACATTTTGTACTGAGCTGGTTCAGTCCGATAAGGAACATGAAGACATCAAGAGGCTTTTATATTTGCAGGATAAGATCAGAGCTGCATGGCCTTCATTTCTACTCTCAAAGCACAGCAGAGGGGAATTATCAATTTCTTCTAAAAACACAATGGATGTTTTTGCATCCAGGCAATTCATGCAGCTCCTATAATGTTAGACCTAAGAGGGCCCTATTTTAATCATGCAAGCACAAAGACATAAGTCTTGAGTGCACAGACTGTGTGGGCGTCTCCGAGTGCACCTGCTATTTAGGCCCAAGTATGTGCAGTAGCACAAAGTGCAAAAGGGCTGGTTGAAGAGGAATAATACAATTGAGGGTGTGGTGATTAAATACTTTGCTCTCAGCAAGTCACATAGCTGTGAAACAGCTGTGCCAATCACAGTGATGCATTTTGACAACAGCTCCAGGAAATCATGTTGTCGTCTGGATGGTGCAAAGCAGCACAACATAAACACACCACACAAATCTGCAGCCTTATGCAGGCTTACGGTGTGATTTTTTATGTTAATAATACACAAATGTTTGGTGAAGCCATTTATATGGTCGCATCAATCTGACACTATCTCAGTCATAATTCTACTGTATTTCATTTGGTAAATGGTCCAATGATATTTTAAAATGTGACACAGCATAATTTTCTTCATAACACATTTAAAATTAAATATGAAGAGCTGATTTTTTATTTATTTATTTATTTTTAAACAAAGTTAATGGGCTCCGGTAATCTGACTTTTCCTGCATTAACAGGCAAAATACCAGACCAGTCTGATGTGTGTAGAGGTGTGTGTGGTTATTCTGTATCAGCCTGGTGTCATTTGCTCATGATTTAATGAAGGTAAACACAGTGGACGCCGTGTATTGCTCTCTGGTGCAGCACTTCTTCAATCAGAGACAGGAGATTTATCAACATATCTGTCCTGCTGCCTTCAGATGGCTGCAAGGATTTAATGAACTGAATTGGGAGGAGCTATTCATACCATATAAAGCAGCTGTGGCCCACAGATGACTGTAATAATAACTTATTTATTTATAGAGAAATGCAGACTGATTTAAGTGACTTCCTCCTTAATCCACATTAAACATACATTTTTATGCAGATCTAAATGCATCTCCTCATTTTTTGTTTAATAAAAATAACATTTTAAGCATTATTGCCATGTTTCTACATATTTGTTCTAAGTACTTAGTTTGTTATTGCCCCAGGTTTTGCGAATGTCTTTTTGCGGGGCGTCACTGATCACAGGGTTGGGGGTTTGATGCCCACCTCTGCCTGTCCGCAGGACAAAGTGTCATTGAGCAAGACACTGAACCCCGGGTTGTCCCACCGGGCATACACAAGCCAGTGTGTTCTTTATTGCCGATCTCAAGCCCAGATAAGTGTGGAGGGTTGCGTCAGTAAGGGCATCCAGTGTAAACATTTCTTTTAAAAGCCTATGCCAAATCAAATATGCGGATCATCAGATCTCCATGCCGGGTTGGGCAGGACCAGGCTTGCCAGCACGATAAAACAGATGATCCGCTGTGGCCACCCCTACAAGGAGCAGCCGAAAGAACAAGAGTTTTCAGAAATCGGGGACAAACTACTTTAGGTAGTATAGATTAATTCAACCCACTTAACAGACTCAGAGGATGTACCACATCAGGTTTCAAGTTTCTTTATCTGAAGATCTTGACTATAGAGTGCTTTGTAACAAATGTAAGTGAGCAAAGAAGCTGAGCCTCTTTGTGATAGTATCCTGTTTAAAAAAGTAGTGTAGTGTAGTGGCTCTTTGTTCTTCTGAAATGTTTTTGGAATGTTTTTCAGTATTTTCTCGTAATAAAAAAAAAAAAAAAAAAACTGATTCCACCTGTCAATGCCACCCCCATTTAAACAACTGCTGTGAAATGTTGATCAGTTCTTCTTCGCCCTATATTCAAGCTTTCCAAGTCCATGAAAATAAATGAAGGCAATAAATCCAAAATAAAGTCAGCAATACAGTAAAAATCATTTTCATAAATTCCCCAATTTACCAGAAAAAGTTCCCTAAAAATCGCTAGAGTTGCTGTAACACTCTACTTCTGTACTATTGCATACAATACTAGATCACATTAACAACTGAAAGTATTAGTATCAATATTAAGAGCTATAAATGAAGCAGAGCTTACTCAGACAAAGATTTTAAGTTTGATATACAGAATGTGAAATATATGCACTATGAAAATAAAATAAATACTAAAGATCATGTAAATGCTAAGTATGTATTTAATATACTGTTTATGAAAACATGAAGAAAAATAGTAAAGAGTAAAATCTGTGTTCGCAAAATTTTCGCTAAAACTGAAATGTGTGTCCAAATTTGGAATTGTCCTCCTCTCACACCCTCTCCAAAGGGGTACCCCAAAGCTCTATGTTAGGGCCCCATCTCTTCTCAATTCACACCACCTTACTGGGCCAATCATCGCTCGCATAGCTTCTATTACCACCACCCTTCTGGCCAGATGACCCACCGTCTCAGTGAGGAGCACCGACATATCTGCATGGATGAAGGGTTGCCACCTTCAACTAAACCACTAAGACTGAATTCTTGGTCCAGCCAAGCAATCTATCCACCACAACACTCCAACCAGGGTGGGGAGAAACTTACAGGTATAGGTGTCATGATTGATGACCATCTGTCCTTCTAGGACCACGTTTCCGCTGTCTCTTGGTCATGCCGCTTTGCTCTACACAACATAAGGGAAAAATCAGACTCTACCTTACTCAGTACGCCACCCAGCTTCTGGTACAGGCCATGGTTATCTCCTGCTTCAATCGCAATGCCCTTGTAGTAGGCCTTCCAGCTTGTGCGTTAAAACCCAGAACGCAGAAGCGTGTCTGGTTTTTGATCCACCCAAAAGGACTTTTGTCATTCCATTACTCATTGACCTCCAATGGCTACGCCCCTGGCCTCCCAAATCAAATTCAAGTCACTAATGACTTGCATACAGAGTGACTTTGGGGTCTGCACCCATCTACCTAAACTCCACAATACAAGCTGAGGCTCCTTCTGGCTCTGCCATCCCTACACTCAAAGCAAGCTCAGTCCTGGTTGTACTCATCTGGAACAAGCTACCACATGCCATCAGAGCGGGGGCGTCCCTCTCCAACTTCAAGAAGCTCTTGAAAACTCATCTCTTCCAAGAACACTTTGTCTAACCTCTAACATGCACTTTGTTTGCTCTTCTTCTATTTCCTTACAGTTATCTTGTATTGATTACACCACTCGTTTGCTCTTATTTCTTTATTAACCCATTTTACATGCTAGGAACAATGTTAACATTGAGAAATTTGATTGACCTTTCAATAAACTGAGGCACAGAATCACCTGAACAATAACAGACACTGATACAGTACAGTTTCATGGTTTTACAACAGTGCGTCTATCAGCTGCATTTTTGTAGAGACTGAGACTGACTGTAGGCCTTGCAGAGATAACCCCAGCCATCTCCCTGCACCGTTATCCACAGATGATCATTTGAGGATTTGGCAGCGTCTACATGAGAGCAGCTTGAAGTCACTGACTACAGAAGAGCCTGCTCAGTCTAGAAACAAATATTAGACTTGATGATCTTTTTAAACTCACAAGAAATGCTGCAACTCAGCTGGGCTGCTGGATTGTTTTCAACTGGGGCCACCTATTCTATAAATGTGTTTGATAATTTTTTTTTAAAGCTTCCACTGACTTGACAAACTTGAGGACAGTGCCTAACTGAAGTTTTATATCATCATCATAATAGATTTTTTTGCATTATTCAGCAGAATTCAATTGCTAGATCCTCCAATTACCATCAGCTCCCAATGATATTTGAACGAACATTCAGCCTCTCTTCTCCAATCTACAAAATTAATTCTCATCAGGACTGAGGTAATTATGCAAGCCACTGAAGCACTGCAGCAATTCAGATTGACACTAAAGCTTTGGCTGCAAAATTATATTTTCTGATGGAGCTTTTCACATGCTTATTGATGGTCTTTCCCAGTGTGATATACAACTGGGGACACAGGGGCCAACAAACCAGCCAAAACTGCTAATGGAATTGGATAAAAAGTAAATGAAAGCTCAGAAGTAAAAATCAAAAACTTCCAGACTTCATTCCATCATTGGGCCCCACATTATTTATCTATGATAAACAAAGTAGTTGGGCTGGGTCAAAGGAGATACAGTCACTGGTGTGGACTTTTCTTAGGTAGCAGCAGACACACCTTTACACACACACACACACACACACACACAATGTGGGAAGTCCTTTTTCCTTCTCCTCCCCCTCAGATTGATACCAGACAGCTGCATCTTAATGACTAAACCAACAGCACTCCATATCAGCTGAGCCACAAAACATTAGCCTCCACTTAACTCTGAGTGCTCCTATAGGAAATGATGGCATATAGGATTGCAGCTACCACACTATAGATTCCCATGGTCCAAATGCAATTACATAGAACCACACTTGATAGCTAACTTCAAGTACAAATGGAACTGCTTAAATTATGTGGTGGATTTTTACTGGACTGGTCACTGAAACTGAACCCAGAGTGCATGGGGTTATAGGAATGAGTGCAGTTATGGGTTGAAACGGATACATCCAAACGCATTTCAAGACCACAAAACCAGCATATAGGAAGGGGCATTATAGTAGCTGACCAGCTGGGATTTCCTCAGGAGGCCTCAGAAAGGCACAAATACCAGGCTGAAATGCAAATGCGGTAAACCTGGACATTACCTCAACAGCGGTTTGCTTCAGGGTGCACGTGTACATGTAGGTTCAGAAATCATGAGAAGTAAAGTTGGTCAAGAATGCAAATAAAACAATCAGATATTCAAACAAGTCATGTTCGTACAGAGTAAGCAATGGAAGTCACACACCTGTCCAGTGAACAGGTCTTCAATGTTAAGAGGGTATATCTAGTTTTTTTTTTAAATGAAATGAATTCATCTATTTGTGAAAAGTTTGTAACCTAACATAAAAATGAACCATATGCCTGATCTCTCAATGGCCTGTAACAGGCTGTATGCAGCTTCTACTGTGAAGAAATCAGGATTTTCAGCGAAATCCATTGGTTTGCGTAGGCTGTGACGCACGGTCCTGAGCCTCTTGCCTACAGTTTCTGAACGTTAGCCACAGTGACAACATCCCAGCTAACGAAATGGAGTGCGTTAACACCAAAACACAACTGGTTCCCAGCACAAACTCCACATAAGGGTAAAAAACAAAACGGTTTTATGTGCCATCTGGCCAAACGAGAATCAGATCAATGTCAGGCAGAAATACGGGTCATTTTACCCTGCAAGATATTATATTATACACTCACCTAAAGGATTATTAGGAACACCATACCAATACTGTGTTTGACCCCCTTTCGCCTTCAGAACTGCCTTAATTCTACGTGGCATTGATTCAACAAGGTGCTGAAAGCATTCTTTAGCCCATATTAATAGGATAGCATCTTGCAGTTGATGGAGATTTGTGGGATGCACATCCAGGACACAAAGCTCCCGTTCCACTACATCCCAAAGATGCTCTATTGGGTTGAGATCTGGTGACTGTGGGGGCCATTTTAGTACAGTGAACTCATTGTCATGTTCAAGAAACCAATTTGAAATGATTGGAGCTTTGTGACATGGTGCATTATCCTGCTGGAAGTAGCCATCAGAGGATGGGTACATGGTGGCCATAAAGGGATGGACATGGTCAGAAACAATGCTCAGGTAGGCCGTGGCATTTAAACGATGTCCAATTGGCACTAAGGGGCCTAAAGTGTGCCAAGAAAACATCCCCCACACCATTGCACCACCACCACCAGCCTACACAGTGGTAACAAGGCATGATGGATCCATGTTCTCATTCTGTTTACGCCAAATTCGGACTCTACCATCTGAATGTCTCAACAGAAATCGAGACTCATCAGACCAGGCAACATTTTTCCAGTCTTCAACTGTCCAATTTTGGTGAGCTCTTGCAAATTGTAGCCTCTTTTTCCTATTTGTAGTGGAGATGAGTGGTACCCGGTGGGGTCTTCTGCTGTTGTAGCCCATCTGCCTCAAGGTTGTGCTTGTTGTGGCTTCACAAATGCTTTGCTGCATACCTCGGTTGTAACGAGTGGTTATTTCAGTCAAAGTTGCTCTTCTATCAGCTTGAATTGGTCGGCCCATTCTCCTCTGACCTCTACCATCAACAAGGCATTTTCGCCCACAGGACTGCCGCATACTGGATGTTTTTCCCTTTTCACACCATTCTTTGTAAACCCTAGAAATGGTTGTGTGAAAATCCCAGTAACTGAGCAGATTGTGAAATACTCAGACCGGCCCGTCTGGCACCAACAACCATGCCACGCTCAAAATTGCTTAAATCACCTTTCTTTCCCATTCTGACATTCAGTTTGGAGTTCAGGAGATTGTCTTGACCAGGACCACACCCCTAAATGCATTGAAGCAACTGCCATTTGATTGGTTGATTAGATAATTGCATTAATGAGAAATTGAACAGGTGTTCCTAATAATCCTTTAGGTGAGTGTAGTACAAAGCAAAAAGAGAGTGGGGCAGGCAAATCTCAGAAAATACATGTTTACAGCCACAAGTTTTAACTATCAATACCCGGTTAATTTAAAAAAAAATAAAAGTAGTTAATGACAATGAATATTACTTCACAATAACATCTTTCAATTTACAATTCAAACATCCCAGACCAAGGCAGGGGAAAATAGACACTATGCCACTATCCATGAGAATATTCTAATATAAAATAGTTTTTAAAGAAAGTGGTATTTTGTCATGTTGTTAATTATGATCTCTAGTGATGTTCATTCTACATCAATCGACTACCCAGCAACAGTTTGTTCTTTTGTACATTTACCTTTCAAAGTGTGGGTTTATATATCAAATCCACAAACAAGTCAGTAAAAGGTGTTTTATGGAGAATGTTTCCGCCCACATCTTCTCTTTCTCACAAAGTCACATTTTGAATGGACAGCAATTGCAGCTTCAATTAAAATATTCAGGTTCATTTTAACAACTGCTGCAACAGTGTGTATGATTCTGCCTAGTTCTCAGAGTAATTATGATAAATGTATACTCACTGTCCATGGCGTTCCTCCACTCTGGGGCCTATAAGACCAGTTGACAGTCATCTTACTGGTTGGCCTACTGGTGGAAGTGAAAGTGCAGGACAAAGTGACTGTATCCCCTTTAGATGCATGGAGCTCTGCTGGAGAACTCACTGTGATGGAGGAGACTGGGGAAAGGGCTGGAGGTGAAACGTAAGAAAGAAAGAGTTGGGGGGAAAAGATGATGATAGAGTGACACAAAAGAGAAAGTATGACACATTGTGAGTGACATTTTATTCACTTACGTCGTGGCATGAAAGTTTGTCACACATCTGTCTGTCAATGGCCTTCAACTGCAGGTAAAACAATGTCCCTGTGTCACTAGATGTTGTTTCATTGTTATTACTTCATTCAGAATGCCAAGGGAGGCCATCCAGAGCAGTGTCTGCAACAAATGATACCTTCCTGACTGAACCCATGAACAAGAGCTGAATACCGACAGCTTCTTTTGAGAGAGAACCTTAAAATATTTAGTAACATTGAGTCATTAATAAGTTACTTTTATTAATAAATGTGGTTTCAGTTGATTAGACCGGCTATCCTGGCATGACAAGCACGCCAGGATAGCTGGTCTAAGACATTGTCCACAATCAACAAACTGACAAAGAGATGACTTCACCCCCCTTTCCTTCACAATACTGTTATGGCAGGATGTATGCTGACCGGAGTGCAACTACTGAATACTTATCACTTGCAGCATTGGAGTATATAGCCATGCTAGCTTCTCTGTGAGTTTGTAATGCTAACGTCACCAAGCCATCTAATGCTAAAGCCCTGGGCCAATTTAAAGTGTTGACCTTATGGTGGCACTAGATTAAAGGTCAGGAGATAGCTAAAGTCGGTAGAATGTATCCTTATAGGCCCTTCAATAGCTGATAACAAATTTCACAAGAACCCACTGTCACTCAATGGAAGATGTAAACCTCATGGTGACATTAGAGGACAAGCCAGGGGATCACCAAGGTCTACAGCAATCCATCAAAAAGTTTTCAAGATATCCCAGTCTAAATTGGTGGGCAGAGTGACATTGCTATCCCTAGAGCCACACCTCTAGCATGGCTAAAAACAAAAGGTATCATAATTACATTAGTGACATCAATACACTGGTTTGGAGGCACATGAAACAGTCCTGCATTTCAAAGTAAAAAGCCTCATCAGCTGGCGTGTCTAATCTTTTTTATCCGATACCCCAAAAGCCAGGTACAAAGTTTATCTTATAACTAAAAAATGTATCATGCGACCAGTCGGATTCATAGACAAAGACCCCGGTGTGAGCGAGTTGACACCTTCAAAAAAAGCTTTCTCTTCATGAAAGTTGAAATCAAGCAGAGGAGCCTTGATAGCTGAACAGCTCTCGAACTTGAGGACATGAGAGTAATTTGTGGTGGGATAGGTATGTTGGCAGATCATCAGTGGTCATGTTGACACCTACTTCCTGCAACATGTCTGGATACAATCAAAAAGAAGACAACATCATATTCTGATAGTTTGAAATGTTCTGATGTGACCCTGGCAGGAAAACGTTGCAACATTTGTATGCCTTGGCAGACACTGCTCTGAGAAGAAATGTAATACAAAAAAAACTAAATGAAGTTAAGTAATAGCTATTAATAAAATATAAAACCACAATGATATTAATTGGTCCAACATTTACAGTACAGTGATACACAAAAAGCCATTACTGTATGTATCTCTCTCTTTATCTTTTTACTTCTGTACCAGGCCAGAGTCTTTCAAAGAGAGGCAAACAACTGCCCACAGTTCAGAGCTATGTTTATAATGTACTTGGCAAAAAGACAGTGTCTTAACTCACTGCATACCAGTTGTCAGAATCCCTCCGAGCCTGGCTTTTACACTGGCCGGTCATTATTGTGGCCTGCACCTGTATCCACAGGGGCAGCCAGCTGATTTCTAAAGGCTATTCTGACTTATTCCCGCAAAATGCGATCATTAATTGACGGATATGACTTAAAAAGTGTCTGCAGTTAAGTTCTCAACAACTTCACATTCTATATTCTCATGGGAGGTCTGCAGTTTTTTTGTTTTGTTTTTTTAAATCATGGCGTTCGCCTTTAAGGAGCTGTAGAAGTTTCTTTCTTTTAGTAGGTCTTTTCATGGACTACTGTAATGAAACGTGGACTATTAAAAGTGAATTAACTTAAATTATCTTAAGATTCCAACTGTAAATGTCGACGCCTTTAATCGAAAATGACATTACCAGTGTAGCCTACACAGAGCTAGATCTAGTTTCTCTCTGTTTGAACTTGTGTTGAAGCAGCGGCATGAAAGCGCAGCTGTGGCCTGTTTACTTACCGAATAAGCCGACCAGATATAGCAGCAAAACGACATTCTGAACGGTAACCTTATTCCCTTGGCGAGGTCGACGCATTTTAAGTTGTTACAACGGGTTTAATCGTATGACGATTTAGGAGGAAAAAAATTGTTGCGTCAAAGCTTCAGTAAAATTCCTCCCATAGCGTATTTAGTCATGACTCCGTGTGTCTCGCTACGCCTACCTGACAAACAGGTGTATCAGGAAGTGGAGCTGTTGGAACACTGGGAGCAAAACAAGTAGCCTAACCTTCAAGCTTTTATAGAAGGACAGAATGGAATAAATAAAGAATGAAAAGCCAAAAAAACAACAAACAAGCTGCTGATTACTGTATTATATTCCGTTTATTTTTATATTGATGAATTTTACCCTGCCAGCTGAATTTTTTGTTTCTCTTTATATAAATAAAGACATTTCCAACATAAATTGGAAGAGAAAATGTCTTCAGAAGGCAAGAAATGTAGTGTTTAATGCTCCAAATTTCTGGGGGACCCCAGTACCCCACTCAGGTTTTTGAGCATTTATCAAAATAGTGTTAAGAATGTTCTTGTCTTGGTCTTTGGTGCATTGTCATGTCTCCCAAGTGTGTCATCACACCACTAATCTGAACCCTTGTCCCCACCACTTTTCAACACAAAGTGACGCCCTTGTGATTATTTGCAGTGGTTGGAAGTAACTAAGTAGGCTACATATACTCAAGTACTGTACTTGTATGTACAAATTTGAGGTACTTGTACTTTGCTTAAGTATCTTTTCATGCCACCTTCTACATCTACTAACTACTGTACCATACTAACTACTTTACAAATTAAGGAAGTATTAACAGTTTCTATGGTGTTTAGTAATAAATTAACTACCCAATAGTTTATACAAGTACAGGAAAATGTTTAGTCAATTAATCAGTTAGTTGATTGACAGAAAATTATTAGTAGATTATTTTAGGTTGTTCTAGCAAAACAAATGTAAATGAAATTTTCAGGAGATTAATATTCAGTGGTATAATAAATAATAATAATAATATAGTAGTACAGTAGTTCTTTTCAAAATAAAGTGGCTTTTTTATGTAAAGACAAAAGGAATTATTGCTGAAGTTGTTAATGTTAATTAGTTAGGCAGTTTAATGTTGATCATGAGCAAGAGAGCATGAGCGTGACTCTTCTCAGGCATCAGCTGTGGAACTAAAATGAAACCATATTAAAATATAATACACTCTCTTTGCACATCTCCATCCCCTCATGTGACCCATCCATTTGGAGGCCTGTGGCCCAGTTCTTCCCATATCTCCCCAGCCAGTGTCTGTATAAAACCCATGGATGTACTAGTGGGACACCTCTGCTACTGCTGGGCATATTATTCCACTATCCCTGTCCCCAGTCTCCTGTCTTTACTGATGTTTAATTATCACTAAGGAATTTGTTTTTTCAGTTCAGTTCAATTTCACTCTGGTGTAAGTTTGAAGTTTATTTATGCCTTTATTTGGTATGTATTGTCAGTTCCAACTTCACATCTGGTCTGTCAGGAGTGTCTCCTCCATTCAGACCACATGCTGGAGTCGTGTGGCATAATGTCATTTCATCTCATGACATATCCGAGGATATTGTATTGAATGAAAGCAGCAACCACTATTACTCTGGGCCTTGCTCCCTTATATACACTGTGTGTGTATCAGCTGTACATCACAACCTATATAGCTACAGATATTGTTGTTTGGGTTAGATACATAAAAGTATGGCACCATAAGAAAACACAACTCAAAGCAAATAATCTCATGTGTACTTTGAAGATAGCTAATTGTATAGCAAAAACTAATCTGATGTAGAGTTAATGAGTTTCAGGGAAATGCTTATTCCTCATAGTAAACATTACACCCTAACTTGATTCAAATGAAAAAGCAGCTGTGCCTAGAGGCTCTCTAATACGGGACTGTGAAAAGTGGGGTTTTCATACAATAAATGCTAATCACTGTACAACTAACATCTAATTTACTACAAACCATGTGGGAATTATTTATGTGGGAAAAGGCCAGAGTCAGATGTAATAAAGATGATATGTGGGTAAAACAATGTCTCTGAAAGCAATGTTTCATCACTGTTTACCTTTTTAAAGAGATCCAGCATTGTCTTCATAGACAGGCACATCAGTATACACAACTTCTTTGGCTTATGCTCTTACCTGCTTGTACTTTGTGACGCTGTCACAAACGCTGTGGATGCCCACTCTAATATGAGACAAAGATGTAGGCACTGGCTTGCTCCTCCCTGCATCCATTCACAAGTACAGTGTTTGTATTGTATCTGTTAACAATGTTATGTAATAGTTCCCACACTGAGGCAGGGATACCGCTTCCCTCTTCTGAATAGATGCTGAGTTAAAGGGGTTGCTTTACCTGGGAGCATTCACATCTTATGCTTTCCACAGTGTAGTATTGTGTTAACTATATTACATAATCTGATACAGACTCCTCATCATCTGTTAGAAGATAAAATCTGCCTCTTACCTAGGTACTCACACACACACACACACCATTGTGTTATATATTGTGAGTGATTACAGGGGCTCAGTTTCAGCTGAAATCTTCTCAGTCACAATGAAGGCTCTCCCCACTTACTGGCTTTCTGGCGACTCTGGGCAACAACAGACCTGTTCTTCTGTTGTCAACACTGGAGGAGACTAATAAAGGTGATTCAAATTGTTGGGGCCAGATAATTATATTATGTAACCATTATCCTTCAGCCAAAAACGTGACAGTCCCTTGGTCTTTTCACCACTTTATTTGCGCTGAATAGTTGATGAAAAGTTGTATCTGCTACACTCCAGCGCACTAAATGTCTTTTAGAGGTTTCTCATTCTGAGAAATTTTTCTTAGGGCTTGCACAAACATGACAGCATTACTCATTAGCCTCAATAGCTACAGGAGGCTCTACATTATACAACACACTGAGGCAAATAAAGCAGACTCCTCACCTTTAAAGTGAATGGATTCATAACTGCAGTGTTTGCGTGCATATGTGGGTGTATGTGTGTGGAGCCATCAGTAGAAGTCACAGTTTTACATTCAGTCTTATAGTTGCATAAAAGTGAGGTGGTACGTTTTCTCTTTGCCTCATATTCCGCAATCTGTTGTGCCAAACCTGTGTGTGTGTGTGTGTGTGTGTGTGTAAAGGAATTTAGTGCCTTCCCACATTACTGTGCCAGGTACCGCCCATCCTGAGGGGTGTAATTCAGACAAAAAAGAGAGAGACATGAAGCAAGACAGAAACCCAGTAGGAGGGAGGAAGACAGACATAATTTCCTTTTCGGTAAAGACTGCACACTATGGTTCATTCCCTTCCTTTACCAAACTAAGCCCACATTTATATGTTCTCTGCAGAAATTACTTACATGTGTTGCAGTAATAAACATTATGTGGCTTATTAAATGAGTCATGAAAAAGGGACGATCTCCCAGGAGTTTGGTTCACATTCATCTTGTAGACGCAACAATAAGGCAGACAGATGTTGATACACAAAAATCAGTTTGGACTCTAGCAGACAATTCTTCAACTAGTGATGTTTAACATTCAATATCTTTCTTCTTTAATTTGTTGTAGTATCAAAACCATCACCAGTTGGAGGGAACAACAGCCAATATCTGTCAGGTGTGCCAGCTGATTGCTCAGCAGCATTGAATGTTTAACCGGCTTTCATGCATTTCCCAGAATGCCTTTTTGGCAACCACCTGAGATCAGGCATGAACTTGTTGCACACAGATGTGGTTCTGTTTGTCTGGGTGGAGACAGATACAGCAGTGATGAATTCATAGCAACAATCAAGAACAGAACAGTCTTTGTGTTCTGCGTGTAGCATTCTGGTCTGCTCAAGATGATGAGGAGCAAATGGCATATCTGCTTTTTCTACAAAATAGATGATTGTTGAGCATTGGTGCAAACATCTGATGTTATGTGTTTAAGATAGCTAGACCCTGCTAGAAAGATCTTCACATTACGTCTGCAAAATGTTAATTTACCATATGTGACAGTCTTAACAAATTCTAGAAATGGCTTATAAAAGAAGCCCTGAACATGTTCATTTCCACACCCACAGTTGAAACCTGAAGTGGCAGAATAATTTGGAGACCAATGACTAAGCTCTGCAATAGGAACCCACAGAAGCTTTTGTGATACATTAGATTATCTAGGGACTGGTTTGTCAGTTCAACACTAGTGGCCTGTCTCTAGAACAAAATTTAATGATTTAGCTTGGAAAAACAGACTCCCACCCACCCTGTCCCTCCTTTTAGTGCTTTTCAACCCTGCTCTGTCCTCAGCTACACACTCACACATACACACTCTCTGGGTCTGTCAGTCAGTAACTAAAGCTGCACTCCCAGGGACAGACTTTGATCAGTGCACACAAATAGGCCCCAAATCACACATAGACAAAGTAAAACATTCATAGTCACGAACAATATCATCCAACAAACAAGCAAACTCAAACTGAAGTCACAAAGGCAGGCGTAAGCATACTAGACGTGCAACAAATTAAACAACAATTCACTGCAGTAATGCTTGCAGCTAAACAAGTGAGGAGCGCTGCAGACAGACATCATAAGCACACAACTGGAGTGCATTAAAGATAATGATACATAATAAATGGTGGATAACAAGATACCTCTCTTACATAATAGATGAATTACATTAAATCTTGCCAAGTTGTGTGCAATTCCCTTTTTCATGGGCCAACTAGTGTCTTCTCAGATGGCCTTTGTGTGACGAAATGTACATGACATGATGTGGTCAAAGGCATTTTTATTAGAAAACGGTTCTTATAAAAGCTCTATAACAAACACGTGCAGCGACATTTTAAACAACATGACAAAATACTTCTTGCATTTTCTAAAATAACACACACACACACAAAAAAGACAAATCTATAAACAAGTTACTCAGTATTACATCACAAATACACAACTCTGTCATGAAAAGGAAAAAAGGTATTACAGTCATTCATTAGTAGACGTGATGCATTCACAGACGCATGGAGTGAAAACAGGCTCTCAAGGACATTTTTTCAATCAAAGGTTTCAGATCTGACTGTCCGCTCCCACACAACACTCAGGACAGGTGCGTGCATGCGGTTGCTCGCTCACTGATCCTGTATTTGGCTTTCAGACAATATTGCAGTAACAACACATTCAAGCTTTTTTATCCAAGTAATCTGA